AATCAAAAAGTGCCATACAACAAATTTCAATTTTAGATCTTAAAGAAAAATTACAGGAAAAGATCCAAATCATGAATCTGCATAAACTCTTGGCAATTTGTTCTTCGCTTAGTTAGATATCAGGATTGGCTATTTAAGCGGTGAAGCGGAAGAAGAAAGCCAAATCAAGCTGAGTTTAAGCGGCTTGCCGGAAAAACAAAAAAAATGGTCTCTACCGGTTACCCGGAAAAAACACAGTAATAATATTGACACAAGGTGAAAAAAAACAAGAGTCTCCATTAGTGAAGGACTCTTTCGAAATTTCACACCATGCCACATAGGCAAAAGTACCTCAATAGCAACATGTGCCTTTTACAGTAATGAAAGTGTGGAAAGTGCATTTTCTTGTAATTCACTCTAAAAAATAAGAGTCAACAAGAAAAAGGAAATATTATCATAAAGCAAGGAGAAAATTCTGGTTATAGAGAATAAATAATTAAAATCATCTATAAATTTAATGTATACAAATAATGGTTAATTTAGAAATAAAATTTTAATATGCACGGTAGCAAATCTATTACATAGATTGTTTATCTACACTCTAATTTAATAGTTTTGTTATTTTTGTATCAGCTAAAATTCTTGACAAAGAATTGGAACCACATTTGTATAAAATTGTTAGTGATCTAATGATTCATGGTCTGTATGGTACGACTAACCCACGTTTGTATGAATAAGAGGAGATGCACTAAGTACTATCTAAGGATTTTTAGTGAGATTACCAAAATTGACGATGCTGGTTTTTCTATTTACAAGCGTAATGAAGATTAAAGAACTGTGGTAAGAAAAAATGTGGAATTAGACAATGGATTTGTTGTACCATACAATGCAAAACTATAAATAGATAGAAACAATAATAGCAAGTCTGAATTCATCTCCTTTATGGTTAGAATGCAAGTTGATGGAACTAGCAACAAACATGAGGCTTCTTCGTAGGTCTGGTGGTGTTGAGAACCAAGAGATGGCAGATATTTTTTTAAATGGATTCTAGATATCAATAAGGGGAAGATAAATGAACCAAATACATAAGAAGTTGAGATTGATATTCCATCAGATGTATGCTACCGCAAGAAATCTAACATTTTTTCAAGAGAGAGCAATATTGAGTCTCAGGAACCAAGACGTGGATGTTATTACTGAGTTTATATTATCTAAGCTCACAGGTATGTAATTGCTAATACGTTTCGTGAATTCAATTTGTGCTGACAATACTGCTTAAAATTGAATACCAATTTTAGTATAGGTGATGAACATGAGTATCTAAGTTCGGATAGTATTGATACTTCAGACACAAGTAAGAATGATGATATGGTTTATATTCTGGAATATCTTAACAATATTATAGTATCTGGGTTGCTAAGTCACTGTCTAAAGTTGAAGATTGGTGCTCCTATCATGCTACTTAGAAATATTGATCCTAGAGGCGGTTTGTGTAATGGGAGAAGGTTATTGGTGACCAGATTGGCTAACCATGTGAGCGAGACTAACCATTTAAGCGGTGAAAAGTTGGCAAGAGAGTTTTTTGATTCCTAAGATGTTTGTTTCTCCACCAGAAGCAATGTTTCCATTGGAATGTGTTGTAGGTAGTTTTCCATTACAATCACATTTGCTATGATAATAAATAAAAACCAAGGTCAAACTTTACAAAAAGTTGGTTTACTCTTACCTAAACCAGTCTTCTTGCATGATCAGTTTTATGTTGTTGTGTCTAGGGTAACATTGAGAAAAAGATTACATATTTTGATAATTGATGAAAAGAAAAAACCGCAACAGAAGACAATGAATGTGGTTTACAAAGATATTTTTCAAAAAATATATCCCAACTCACGTTTAAGTGTTATGATATTTTGTAATGATTTTTTTTTCTTTTAAATTGGTTTGTGATGTTATTTTTTAACAATCAAAATTTATTTGGATTTTATATGTTTTGACTATCTACTATAATTATCGTAACTTCAAAAATTAAGCTATACACAGAAATATTTATTTGTGATTTTAACATTTTTGAAATTCTTTGTTACATTATACGATATGCTTTTCTTGGCTTATGTTAATGTGTGCAACTAAACACAAACCATGGTATGATAGTTTTCAGATCTTTTTGTAGAGAATTTCACGCATCGTTAACATATTTAGTGATCATTTTATCGATAGTTTTACATTTTGGTGATAAAGTTTGGTTAACGAGAAACTGCTAGATTAATTAACAAAACAAAGCTATTGTTTTACAAAGCACTCAGCCCATATATGTTGCGGGCAACACACCTAATATGATATTAAAACGCTTGATAATGATAATACATTATTTTTATATATTTTTTCTAGGATGATTATAGATTTATATCATTGAAATATCCCATTTTGTGTTTCTTGAGTGGGTTTTGTCGTTTGTTGATATTTAATTGAAAGAAACAAATGGAAGATGAGTTTCTCAAAGTTTCTCATTTAAAAAACTCTTTTCATTATCTCTCTCTTTTTATTTTTAATATGAGAAACTCTCACTAATGGTGCTCTTACCAAACTTAATTCTAGTATTACATAGAACATCCGAATTAGGTGTTCGTCCACAACAATACTCCTCAATAATGTAGGAAACCTGATTTATTGATGGAGATCAAATCAGAAACCCAAACAATTAAGCATTCTAAATAAATGTGTTGGTGATGGATCTAATCCTAATCCAGCCCACACCGAGAAACAGACTATTATAATGGTACTCTGAATCATCAAGCCCAGAAACATGAGAGAATTGGCATCTTCTGGGAATATGCTCAGCATGAATCAGACTAAGAGAACGAAGAGATGTAGATAAGTAAAGATCGCGGAAATCTCGGAAAAGGAGAGAATGTATCAACCTGCAAATCTTGGAGTCGTTCGGCTCGACAAACTAGTATAAGTAGGAGTTTGACACATTGTAGATTCATTCAATTCTTAGCTCAAAAAAGCACTTTGTAAACTCATTCTTATCAATATAAAATCCAAATCGTTGAACCTTGTCTCCTCTTTTATATCAATATTATCGAAGTTTTTGCCCAAAATCTTCCACACAAAACCAACACACTAAATTCTTGAGTGTGGGATTTAGGATTCACAAAAAGCATTGAAGAAAGAACTTACAACTCTCTCCCAATATTCATCTGTTAAATGCACAACCTCCAAAGGAACATCAACCTAGAAAATTACACCAGTAGAAGCAAATCTTTTGGATTTACTAATTATAATCCAAATCCTGTACCGATTCATAAAAATTTCAACTAGACTCAGTTAGGATAGAATAAAACACCAAAACAAACAAACAATAGCTTTGGTATTAACTTCACATCTTATGCAATGCATGCATCATGCATGTCGTTTGTATGTAATTCGTATGAATACAAACAAAAAAGTGTTATTATATCTGTGTAATGGGTACGAGTGCTAAAAGGTTACGTATATGAGTTTGTCTGCATATATATGCTTTTGAGTTTTGAGTATATACCGTTTTTCTTTTCTCTTGTCCAAACCGATCCCACCTCTTTCATCTAGACCTTTTTTCCCTTAAATTAGAAGATTTGGTTTTGATTTAATTTCAGTTGGGATTAAAAAAATTTTCGATTAAATTTTGATTTCACTCGATTTCAGTTTAAACCGGTTAAGTTAATTTCATTTATGACTTTGGTCAAAATAAGTTTGACCTTGGTTCGGTCCAATATTAGTTTAGTACCGGTTTGATTTAGTTTAATTCACTTTCAAATCATTAATTAACGGTAGTAGATGGTTAAGAGGTCATTAGTGTGGGAATATATCAAACTGGAATACTGGATCATCATCTTTTTGGATTTTTCCATAAAATATGTAATTACAACACTTAAAATTATGTAATACATTCGTAAAATATAGTAATTGTATATAGTATATTGGGTTATGAAAACATTAAAACTCGCCAGCAAACTCAATGAAAGCTTCAAATATTTAATACTGAAAACATATTCAAATGTTGACAAAAAAAAAACAGATTCAAATAAAGTAGTTATCGAATGCTAAACTAAAGATAAATTTAAAAATAAATATACGTTTTAGTTGGTATATTTAGTATTTCTTTACAATATATAAACATATCATTTAAAATCTCCAAAAAAAATATATCTTGATAGCGAGCTAGCTCACTACTCATTAGAACTAGTTCTTATAACTCGCCAACTAAGTTAAAGTCGAACACTAATTAACTCATTTACTTTTTTTAATTTAATGTTAAATTATATTCAAAAGAAAAAAAAATAAATTGTTTTACAAAATTTGTTTTTGACTTTTCGAAGAAAAACAGAGCATAAGCTTAAGGACTAATTTTGAGTGTTATCTAAAGGAGAACCACACTCTGAGGCCATCTTCATATCTCAAGTCCCCACTGTCTCGGATGGAGCTTAACTGGTTTCTCACTGTGTTGTCTATCATCTTAGTGAGCCGAAACACTGATGAAGGACTCTCTCCACGCTTTCTATTGTTCCTCTCTCTCCATATCGAATGAATTGCAGCTTGGAAAGTGTACCTGACTAGAAACTCGTTTACTTAAAAAAAAACATAGCTCGAATTGATGAAAACCCGAACTTAGCTGAGAGACAGTTGATGATCTAAATTATACTACTCATTTTTGACGCCCTTAATTAGTCGTGTGACAGGAGTTGGTATATAAGCGGATTTGGTTTGATTCGGTTTGCTTAAATTTCGGTAAATATCCCATCTCACATACATATAAAGGAAAAATCGATATTTGACCATATAAAATACAGTATAATCAAATAAGTTTGGATCCCAAAATCAAAGAATAGAAATCAATGAAATTTGGGCCCATGACTGAATTAGGGCATTATTGTGCATGAGTGGATAAAAAGCATCTGCCGCATGCATTTTGACCTAATTGTTTATTAACAAATAACAAACCGACTAAATACACGACACAAGTCAAGAATAGCAGAAATTAGGTTATGGGTTACAAGACTGAGAAGAAGCGTGCGCCAAGACGCTGGAGGAAGAGGAAGGAGGGTCGTCATAAACGTGGGTTGGTTGTTGATGACCTTGAATATATCTGGAGGAAGAAGATCGAGGCTCTTCGTAAGTCCTAAGAGAAGATTATATATCCGAGAACGAGAAATGTCTAGCCTTTCAGCCAATGCTGCGTATCAGAATAAAGTGGCGCGAAGAATCCGATGTAATTGTTTAACAATGGAACAGGGATTGTATAAACTACTCGATAAAAAATATCATCTTCCTAATTTCTGTTGCTAATGTATCTTTTTTAGGTGTTCGATGGTGGAGATTACATTCTTGTAAAGGGAATGATTGTCCCCTTGCAGTGCGCCTTTATGCTAAGTTGGGCCTTCACCGTTACAACATGTTACAGGTAATAAACTAAACTAGCCAGTTCGTGTCGTGTCTGCCGTATTCAAAAATCTCTTATTGCTCAATGTCTCAAGGGACCAAGTTGCAGCTTCTTGAAATCGAGAAATACAATAGAGATAACAACAGAGTTATGGATGTCGTTTGTCATATCGCCAGACCTAAAGATACAGGTTGGTTACTTGATTAATCGTTATATTAGCATGCATCATTTGACTTTTCTTGAAAAGTGTGTGTGTGTAGATCCCTCTGCTGATTAAATGTGTGACTTGTCTCTCTTAGCGACCAATGGTACGAGTCATCCGACAGAAAATTTCGACTATGATATCAATAAAGTGCCTGATTGGCCGTTAAACAAGGCTTTTGCTGATAACAATCGATTTTTTTACAAGGTAAGTTGAACAAACTATATAACATATACATTACAATCATTATATACATGGTAAGATAAGAAGATGCTATCATCATTGCTGACCAGTACGTTGAGATATTTGCTTCTTCTCAGATGCAGGAATCAGAGTGGGCTGAAAATGACTGGATTCGTCTATATTTGGAACTTGCATTCGTTACAACGAATCCGCAGATACACAGCGTACGTAGATTTCCTTTTTTTTTTTTGCATAGCAATTGGTATATATACCATGGCACATGTTTTCTATATATATATATAATAAATGGAGGTGTCAAATGGGCGGGTTGTCCATGGGCGATCTATGTCCAAATGATAATGGACGGGCTATGAACACACCCAAATATTAATGGGTCTAAATGGTAATGGTCCAGTTTTGTCCAGAAAATAAATGGGTCAAACTATATGGTTTTTGGTCGGTTTAATGGTCTAAAAATTTTAGATCAAATCAAATTGAGATTTTTTTTATTCTTCTTAAATTATTTTAATTATTATTCTTCTATCAGTGGAAATTATTCATTTTTAAAAATTAATTTTGTTATATTAGAGAATGTATAAACTAAAATTTTTATAAATATATGCATAATGATAGATATAAAAGACATATTGGTAGACAGCTCTTTGCATCACGGTTCAAAGAGCTGTCTTGAATGGCTTATGATGTGCTTTGTATTCCCATAACAACAGTGTCTTCTAAGTCATCATTCAGTGCTGGGAGTCGAGTTCTTAACAAGTATAGGAGCCGGCTTCTTCCATCAAATGTCCAAGCTCTGATTTGTACAAGAAATTGGCTGCGTGGCTTTGAAGTAATCAGTAAGTTTACATCAATCTTGAGTTAATATCATAATCACTTTCTGTCGTATGTTTGTATTGTTGTTTTGTTTTTGATTATTATTTTTTATACATTGATTATATGAAATTGCTGATGCTTTATGATAGGTGATTCCGAGTTTGAGCCATATGAAGAAAATGAAGAAGATGATGGTGAAAGTGGAAGAAAGAAGATCCGAACAACATATAAGCTATTAATGTCTTTATCTCCCTTCTATCTTTTTTATGGCAATGTTTTAGTTGAACTTGTATCTTATAAGCTGAATCTCGTTTTTTGCTGCAATTAAGTTAAACTCATGTTTTGAATCTTTTCATTTTGATACAATTAAGTAATTTTGAAAATGGTCTTATTTGGACTTATGGACAGCCCAATTGATCATAGTCCAAAATGGATTTGGTCCTATTTGGACATGGTCCTATTTGGGTGTGGACCATTAATGTCTAGAAAATAAAAATGTCCATTTGAACCAGCCCATTTGGACATGGACAGCCCAATTGACACTGCTAATAATAAAGCAGTGTGTGTCTTATTTTTTATTTTTTTTACAGAAAAAAGTTTGCTGCAGCCCAACCTGTCCGATTTGAATATTTTGAACGTAGTGCTAGAAACTGAGGAAAATGTTAAGCCGCTGAATGAGAGACTCAAATGTTTGAGCAATGCAATCGTCTACATAAGATATGATCAGGACTTGGGCGAGGATCGAGTTTGCAAATGCAGAGCTATCGTGAGAAGAAGTATGGATTTGATATCTAAACGCTTTTGTCTCGTGGGCAAAATTATGCCGGTGCCCAACTCCGAGTAAGAAGCTCTTAGAGATTAATACTAGAACTCTATGAGGAGTTCTTAATTAATTTTTAATTATTAAATTAGGTTAATATTTAATATTTGTTAAGAAATTTATGTTTTCTATGCACCAATGAATTCTTAAAAAAAATAATAATTATGTTTTATTTTAAATAAAGATAAATTTTTAATAAAACATACTTAGCATAAAAACAATGTAACATAATTTGTTTTCACATCCAAATTTTGCTATATATGCTCAGTTGTTATCTTGATCATGTCCAAATTTTTGTTATATATGCTCAACATAATCAATTTTCAATTGTAACTTTCAATTGTTGATGCAGTTGTCTATTATGAATTCTAGTTCGAGCACTCAACATATTTGCGAGATTTGTAGGCATATCTGTAAAAAACATGTGATCCACATGTGAATATCCGTTTCTTTCTCCTTGTTGGAATTCTGAAACATCAAATTGAGTGTATCTATGTCTTTTGTCTTTTACTATCATATTGTGGAGAATTATACAAATTCTCATAATCTTTCCTATTTTTCTTTATACAAAAGAAAGAGCTCAATTTTTAACAATGACAACTCGAGCTTGCAAGACTCCAAAAGCACGCTCGACATCTTTTCGGGTAGTTTCTTGATGTAGAGAAAATAAAGATGTTTTTTGGGCCCTGTGAAATTAGAATAGATTGGATAAAATTGCCCATTTTGGATAAATATCATCTGTGAGATAGTAGACCAAATGATACTCTCTTCTATTGACAAAGATATTCACTTGCAAAGCTTGACCTTTATAATATCATCAAAAATGGGTGAGTGATCAAAAACATTGATATTGTTTAAGGTACCAGGAGGTCCAAAAAACATATGCCATATCCATAGATCATATGAAGCTACCGCTTCTAATACTATTGTGGTTTTTCCAGAATTACGTGAATATTGCCCTTTCCAAGCGGTGGGGCAATTCTACTACTCCCAATGCATACAGTCGATGCTTCCTACAATTATGAGAAATCCGCGTTGTTCTCTAATATGAAGTAAGCGTTGAAAATCCTCCGGTGTGGGTCTTCTTAGGTACTCATCGTCAGAAAAATATTTATTATTGCCTTCGACAAAATTTTCCAAACATGAACGAGCAGTAGTTTCACCGAACCGAAGGTATTCGTCAACCGTATCAGCCGTAGTGCCATATACCAAGAGACGAATGGCTGTTATACACTTTTGAAGTTTAGAGAGACCAGGCCTTCTGAGAACATCTTTCTTCTGTCTAAAGAAGCAAACTTCATTGGAAAATCGATCAACAATTTGCAAGAACAATGGCTTGTTCATCCTAAAACTTTGTCGGAATAAATTAGTGATGAAATAATCGTTCCATAAACATATGTGGCCTTCTTTGTGATCTCTTTCGATAAAAATTTGCAAGACTTGCTTACATACCATGTAGTGAAGTTGTAGATGCATGGCGTTCTAGGATGAACAAGCCATTGTTCTTGCATATTGTTGATTGATTTTCCAATGAAGTTTGCTTCTTTAGGCAGAAGAAAAATGCTCTCGGAAGGCCTAGTCTCTCTAGACTTCAAAAGTGTACAACAGCCATTTGTCTCTTGGCATATGACGTTGCGGCTGATACGGTGGACGAATACTTCCGGCTCAGTGAAACTATTGTTCGTTCATGTTTGGAAAATTTTGTCAAATGAATAATAAATTTGTTCGGCGATGAGTACCTAAGAAGACCCACACCGGAGGATCTTCAACGCTTACTTTATATTGGAGAGCAATGCGGATTTTCCGGAATTGTACGAAGCATTGGAAGTGGAAGAATTGCTCAAATTCTTGGAAAAGGCAATATTTATGTGGTTCTATAAAACCCACAATAGTTTTAGAGGCGGTAACTTCATATGATCTGTGGATATGACACGCATTTTTTGGACTTCCAAGTACCTTAAATGATATTAATGTTCTTGATCACTCATCTGGTTTTGATGATATAATAAAAGGTCAAGCTCCGCAAGCTCTGTCAACGGAAGGGAGTATCATTTGGTCTACTATCTCACATATGGTATTTATCTAAAATGGACAAATTTTATCCAATATATTCCAATTCCACATGACCTAAAAGCATCTTTATTTGCTCTACATCAAGAAGCTACCAAAAAGATGTTGAACGTGCTTTTAGAGTCTTGCAAGCTCGATTTGCCATTGTTAAAAATCCAGCTTTTTTGGACAAAACAAAAATAGGAAAGATTATGAGAGCTTGTATCATTCTCCAAAATATGATAATCGAAGACAAAAGAGATGGATACACTTAATTTGATGTTTCAGAATTCCAACAAGGAGAAGAAAACAGAAGTTTACATGTGGATCACATGTTTTCTACATATATACCTACAAATCTCGCCAATATGCTGGATATTCGAACTAGAATTCGTGATAGACAACTGCATCAACAATTGAAAGCTGATTTGGTTGAGCATATACGGCAAATATTTTAACGTGATAAAGATAACAAGTGAGCATATATGGCAAATTTTGGACGTGAAAAAAAAACAAATTTATGTTTGCATTGTTTTTAGTTAAGTATGTTTTATTCAGCAAATTATTTCTATTTAAAATAAAACATAATTATTAATTATTTTTTAAGAACCCCTAATAGTTTCTACCATTGGAGCATAGAAAACAGAAGTTTTTTTAACAAGCGTTCTTAACTTAAATTTAATAATTAAAAATTAACTAAGAATCCCTCATGAAGTTCTACTATTAATCATGCTTTTAAAGACCTTAAATAAGAGTTGGTTTTTAACTTAATTAGTAGTTTAGATATATTTTAATCCTAATAATACTTAAGAATCCTTCCTAAGAAACCCGTTAACGATTGTCTTAGTAATAACTTGTAAGATAGTTTCCATTTGAAAATTAATGTGGATCAGATAAATAAATGACTACTGGTTTTCATGCTATTTTGTGTCGGGTTTTGTGTCTTTTACCCGTTAACGATTGTCTTAATAATAACTTGTAAGATAGTTTCCATTTGAAAATTAATATGGATCAGATAAATAAATGACTACTGGTTTTCATGCTATTTTGTCTCGGGTTTTGTGTTTTTTTGTTTTCAGAGATATATAAGTTGAATCAAAAACCTCTCTCGGTGTGTGTATAAGCATGCAGGCTTCTGGGCGGTTGCCTATTTCTCTCATTTTCTTTATCTTCAACTTCTCGTTTTAGCTTTTCTTCTCTTCTCTGAGCTTCTCTTTGTTGTATGACACTAGGGATTTACTATCATTGTAGAACCGCTGATCATTTCTATAAGCTTATATACATCGTTAGTAGACATTATATACATCGTTAATAGTCGTTATATACATCGTTAGTAGTCGTTATATACATCGTTAGTAGCTTCACACACACACACACACTCTTGTCCGTTCCGATCGGGAAACCATAGGTAGCTATACCAGATCCGAATATGAGTTGCATAGCTTCAAATTGTTCAGCCAAATCACACCGCATATGTTTATGGGAAAAATGGTTAGTATCGATTAGATCTAAAAAAAATTGTTCGTAATTGATAGAAATGATTGAGAATTTAATGAATTTAGTACTTTGGTTTACTTTTTAAACTCAAGTAGTATTAATACCAATGATGATTCTCTTGTAAAAAAAAAGTATGAGACTATCTATTTTTCCATGTAACTCACATAGATTTGGTATGGATTTGCTTTTCGTGACAATCGCAATTCGTATATCTTCACAAATTTTAAGCCTCAAGAATTAAAAAAAGTTGATGGTCATATCATGATCACATTAGCAATTTGATGAATTTGTTTCTGTTGTTTTTAAAATTATTATTTAGTTAATAAAATATATTGTCATTAGAACCAATAAAGTAATAAATATTTTAATATATAATAACAATATATTCAATTTTGTCATCAAATTTAACAGTTAATAATGACTTACAAGCAAATGAATTAATTTTTGTGAAATATTTTCAATATATTAATATCTTGACATTGGAAAATTGTTTAATCGTAAGAAATGTATATATATATATGGGGTTTTTGCTAAAAATAAAGTTTAAGTAGTTTCCGATTTTTTAATTCCCAAAAGTACAATTTTCGCCCTCCGAAAAGAAACGAAATTTTGCTATAGCTTCCTTCTCCAACGTTTTAACTTAAAAAACGTTCCACCTTCCATCTGTACACGCATCGGCTTCTTTAGTCTCAACCATTTATTTTTCAAATTCCCTTTTTTCCATACTCCTTGATTTTTTGTTCTTTTTTTTTAGTTGTCAACTTTCCTACTCCGTGGCTCATTCCATTTTGTCATATGCTTCAAATTCGTTGAGATTTATATTCAAAACCCTATTTCAAAACCATAATCAACTCTTCTTTTTTGTTCATAGTCCAAACAAAGTGTGACATTCTCCGAACTGCAAGAAAACAAAAAGCTGAGATTTTGAATTTGCTTGTTTTTTTTGTTATTTATTAATTTTAAAATTTTCTGGGAAATTGTTACGTAAAAATAGAAAGAGAAAAGAGACATTATTGACCGCTCTTGGTTCAGACAAAAAAGGTGTGTTCTTCTTACGTTACAATTTTCTTTCTTCGTTCTTAATCACCTTTTTAGTTCTTCTTACGCATTTCGGGTTAATAGTGAAATTCACAAAAAAAAATCATTTTCTGCCAATATGTTTCAGAAAATTGGTTGGCAGATAGATTTCTATCATTAACAGTAAAATTTCCGATTTTTTATTTGGTAATTGACGTTAACCAAACTTTCAGTGATAGAAAATCTGTGGTTATAAGCAAATCTCTCTTCTTTAATTTCTTTTTTTATATAGGATTTATTTCCTATTCTTTTGAAGAGGGTAAAAATTTCAGCCTTTGATCCAAGCTTTTTCTTCTTTTGGTCAACAGCTAAATTGTTCATAGAACAAAATTTGGATATTCTGGAACCCTCTAGATTTCTATTCACAAGTAAATTCAAGTTTGACTTCAAGTCTTCAATAATTTGATTTCAAAGGTTATTGTAATGTGTGGTTAGCCTTGAAACCGCTTTATACTTGAAAACGAGATAATTCTCTTTATTTTAAATTTTTTTGCTAGGGGCATCTATTGAAATGTCACTTACCTAACTGAGAATCATTTACTTTGCTAGATTCTGTATACACATTCTATTATGTACTTGTGAAGCTCATAAACTCAAGAAGCTTCAGTAACATCTGTTTATGATGTCTGAAGATGGCTACAGCACAGATTTTCCAAGAAACCCTCTTTGCATCTTCTTTACTGATTTCAGGTAAACATTTTTCTGGTATAATTCTGTTTTGTGTCACTTATCAGAAAGAAACTTGAAAATTGGTTTTTCTTTGATGTATCAGATCAGTTCTGAAATTTGATGAGCTCGGTTTGGAGATAGCTCGAATAGCTTTACCTGCAGCACTTGCTTTAACAGCTGATCCTATTGCATCTCTAGTCGACACAGCCTTCATAGGCCAAATTGGTTATAACAACAACAATTTCTTTCATTTGCTTATATTAGTTTCAAATTGAAAATCTCAGTTTTTTTTGTTTTTGTGTGTTTTGGTGATGATTTACAGGTCCTGTAGAGCTTGCTGCAGTTGGTGTTTCAATTGCTTTGTTCAACCAAGTTTCAAGAATCGCTATTTTCCCACTCGTTAGCATCACAACTTCCTTTGTAGCAGAGGAAGATGCTTGTAGTTCTCAGCAAAATATTGTCCAAGATCATAAAGAATGTATTGAAACTGGTAGTAACAATACAAATGAGGAAACTCAAGAACTGATTCCTGAAAACAATAAAGGTATATTGCAACATCATCACTCCTCTGATTATTTGATTTCTTGAAGTAATTAGATATCACTAGTTTGTTTTATCTTTTTCATCTTTCAGATTCTACATCAGATGAATCTAAAACCAGTAGCAGTATCTTTAGTGTTAGTAAAACTCCAGCCAAGAAAAGAAACATACCATCAGCTTCATCTGCTTTGATCATTGGAGGCATTCTTGGCCTTCTTCAAGCAGTGCTTCTTATATCCGCAGCTAAACCTCTCTTGAGTTTCATGGGAGTTAAACACGTAAAGTATCGATCTTTCATGCTCAACATCTATATAAGATGTTATGAGATTGATGAAATCTTTTTAAAACATGGTTTAAAACTGTTAACAGGATTCTCCAATGTTGAGACCTGCTCAAAGGTATCTATCTCTAAGATCACTTGGTGCACCTGCTGTTCTTCTCTCGCTCGCTACTCAAGGCGTTTTCCGAGGGTTTAAAGACACAACAACTCCGTTATACGCAACTGGTAACGCCATTTATGTACATATATATAATATGTTATCAAAGTCCTTGAAACAGAACAAAGCAGATGATCATTTATCTTTTAATCTCTTCTGCAGTAATTGGAGATGCTACAAACATAATACTCGACCCGATTTTCATATTCGTTTTCCGTCTAGGCGTGACAGGAGCAGCCACTGCTCATGTTATATCCCAGTTAGTTTAATTTCATATATGTAAGCTTGGTGTCTCTCAAAAAATGACCTCTGCTTTGAGTAACAGAGTTTTTCTATGTTCCTTTTTCAGATACCTTATGTGTGGAATACTCTTGTGGAAACTGATGGGTCAAGTTGATATCTTTAGCCTAAGTACCAAACATCTTCAACTCTGTAGATTCATGAAAAATGGTACTGCAAAAATACTTGGAAACTTCTCAATGCGTTCATAATGACATCTCTAATGGTTCTTGTTTTATGTGTGATTTCTCTTTCTCAGGCTTTCTTTTACTGATGAGAGTAATAGCGGTAACATTCTGTGTAACACTTTCCGCGTCACTAGCTGCTCGAGAAGGATCCATTTCCATGGCAGCTTTCCAAGTTTGCTTGCAGGTTTGGTTAGCTACTTCACTACTTGCAGACGGGTTCGCTGTAGCTGGCCAGGTTTAGCTCTTGCGATCTCTCTCCTAGATGCATCTTTTAGTTAACCGGTTTTAGTTTTAAACAAATGGTTTTTTCTTAAGGCGATACTAGCAAGCGCGTTTGCCAAAAAGGATTACAAAAGAGCTGCAGCTACCGCCTCTCGTGTACTGCAGGTACACACAATTTACATTAATGTATACGTAAATACAAATTCAAACTCAACCAAAAACATAAAGATTTAATCTTATACTAAATCTTTTATAATCGATCACTTTGAAACTAGACCAAAAACATAAAGATTTAATCTTGTAACAGTTGGGATTGGTTCTTGGGCTTCTACTCGCGGTTATACTTGGAGCAGGATTGCATTTTGGAGCAAGACTATTTACCAAAGACGATAAAGTCTTACACCTCATTAGCATAGGACTTCCGGTAATTAGCTACGCCTCAAATCCCTAATCAAAACAAGATTATTCTATCATCCCTAAACAAATCAAGATTGTGGCTAAAAGCGGTTTTTGTTTCGTAAAAGTTTGTGGCAGGAACACAACCAATCAATGCTTTGGCGTTTGTGTTTGATGGAGTTAACTTTGGAGCATCTGATTTTGGTTATGCCGCAGCTTCATTAGTAATGGTGGCTATAGTTAGCATTTTGTGTTTGGTTTTTCTCTCATCAACTCATGGGTTCATTGGACTTTGGTTTGGTCTCACCATTTACATGAGTCTTAGAGCAGCCGTCGGATTTTGGCGGTAAAAATTTATGAAACTCTCTGTTTCTTGTAGTAAAAAAAATAGGTAAAAACTTTTCGTGCTTATTATAACAGAATGTGATTGGAATTGTAACAGGATTGGAACAGGAACAGGACCTTGGTCGTTTCTTAGGAGCTGAAGAAGGAATTTCAAAGGGAAGAGCATGTTTAAATTGTTCTTGAACCTTTTTTGTAATGAGGTTGTATATAACTGAATAAAATACAATGATTATGAATCTGGAGAAGCAAATAATTTTATGCCATGTACTGTTACTCTTGTAAATATTAGTGTTATATCCAAAATCAGAGGCCGTTAGTCCAATTTTTCGGCTAGACAGACTCTATACTCTATATCAAAAATCAGAAAATAATTTCATTTTATCCAAAAATTATAGAAAAAAAAGAGGAAAATATCTGAAGTTGTTTGAAAAAAAAATTCTCATTCCCTTCCAATAATGGGAAAGAAAAAAAAATTAATGGCCTATGTTTAGGAACTCTCCACTTTAACATGATTGGCTCATAGCTACTCTCAATATTTAGTTTAAAAACTAAAATGAAATATAAAAAAACCAATCTTTATTAGGGGAAATTAAAAACAATCAAACAAAAAAAGTAGAAACCTTTACGAAACTCCTCTGCCATTCTTTTTCAATCTAAGAGAAAGAGCTCAATTTTAGCTATTACCGATTTCCTCACTTCACGGAGAAACTAAATCTCCGCCATGCCTACCACCACGTCCTCCTCTTCCTCCGCCGCTGCTTCCTCCTCCTCCTCCGGTAATCGTCAAGCCGATGTATTCTCTCGTCTCGCCTCCTCTGACCCTGAAGTCAAGCTCAAGGCCCTTCGCGAGGTCAAAAACCAAATAATCGGAAATCGTACAAAAAAGCTATCTTTCCTCAAACTCGGAGCTGTTCCCGCCATAGCTTCCGCTCTCTCCGATGCAGACGATTCGGATAAATGCAACAACATCCTCGTGCAATCTGCGGCGGCGCTCGGGAGTTTCGCTTGTGGGTTTGAAGCCGGAGTTCAAGCTGTTCTCGACGCCGGAGTTTTCCCTCATCTACTTCGTCTCCTCACTAATCCTGACGAAAAGGTGAAATTTTTGAAAATTTATTGACTTTTTTTTTTTAAAAGTCTATAATTCAGTTCCCCAAATTTTTAATCCAGATTCGAAATGACATTAGAAATTACTGTTGGGTCTCTCACAAGAAGCTTGAACGATTTGTAGATTATACTCTGTGATCTTTGTAGCTTTTTAAGAGTTGTAGTAAAAAAGTTTCCACCTTTATAGCTTTTAGGAATTGTCTGCATCTGAGGAATTGAAGCATTGGCCTTGGAATTTTGTTGATCCTCTTTTTTCGTTTCTTTGGATATTACAGCAATTTTCTTTCTTCTTTTGTATTTGTTCTTTAGGTAGTAGATGCGGGTGCTCGTTCGCTTAGAATGATATTTCAATCTAATCTAGCTCCAAAGTATGATTTCCTCCAAGAGAAGAACATGGAGTTTCTTTTCTCGTTGTTGAATAGCGAGAATGAGAACGTTAGTGGGCTTGGTGCGAGCATTATCGCTCACGCTTGTGGAACAAGTGTAGAACAACGGCTTCTCTGCGACGCTGGTGTTTTGGAGAAGCTTGTTATCCTTCTTGATGGTTCTTTAAGCCAAAGAGAGGCTTGTCTTGAATCTTTAGCTACGGTTTTGAAGAACAATCCTGATGCTGTTTCGCACTTTGTTGGACTCGAGGGTGGGAGATATTTGAGTTCTGTAACTGAGCTAACAAAGGATAGGTACACGAGGACGAGGCTGCTTTCTTGTCTTTGTTTAGTTGTCATATATAACACTTCTCCGTCGTATTTCCTAAACATGGGAACCAAATCAAGTTTGATAACTACTCTGCTTGAGCTTCTTAACGACCCTGGTCAATCTGGAGATGATGCTGCCTTGGGTTTATCTAGTCTGATTGCTGAAAAAGAGGATTTACAAAAGTTAGCTGATGAGGCCAATGCAATCAAGAATATCGTTGACATCTTGAAGACAGGTAGTGAGCTCCAGCCTAAACGTCTTCAGGGTTTGTTTTTGTCTCTAGCTGAATTGTGCTCAAAACTGGAGGATTGTAGGTGTAGCTTCCTGTCATTGCAGGTGTGTCTCCACATCGCCATTATCTGATTTGATATTCGGTTAGTTTACTATTTAAACTGTGCTGAACTTTTTTTTTGTCTTTGTTTCCTTCGTCTAGGTATTAGACCTGCTGATTAATGCGCTAAGACATAGTGACGCTAATGTAAGAACTGCAGCGTGCATTTGCTTTAAAAACGCTGCTCGATCAATCAAGGTTTGTTAACATCATACATTTGCGGATCCTATTAGTATTTTCAGCTGTTTGTATCAAGTAGTAAGTCCCCTGAGACATGTCATTTAGAATTTGAGTGCAGGACATTTCACCAACGATAATGTTATGCTTCCGTTGGTTCAGCTATTGCATGATCCTGCGTCCTCTGTCCAGGTACAGCGTTACATTAAAATTTATTTCAGAACAGATATTTTCTTTAGATCGCAGAAGAGATCTGAATGTATATATACTGTATATCGTTGATCAGGTGGCAGTTCTTGGTGCTTTGAGCAATATAGTATTGGATTTTTCAGCACCTAAGTCAACATTTATAGAGTATGGAGGGATCAAACAGCTTATTGAGTTGTCAAAATCAATGGATCCAAACGCTCGGTGTAGCGCTTTAAGGGCTTTGAGGAACCTCATGTTCCTTGCAGACAATAAACGTAAAGAAATCTTTTTTTCAGACGTCAAGGCTCAAGGATTTGCTTGCCTTATCAGTGGTATAAATCATTCCTCTAAACCAAAATAATCATATGATTCATCTTATATGCAAAATTTTATCAAATAACGACAAACAAAACCCATTCCCCTCAGATCCTGAGCCCCCTGTACAAGAGCAAGCTCTGGCCCTTCTCCGTAATCTTGTTGATGGATGTATCAGCTCCATTGAGTTTGTATTTGATGAAGATTGTCTTATCTTAAATACTGTTGGAAGACAATTGAGAAAAGCTCCGCAAGCTCAAATGGCAATACAGGTGAGAAAAATGGATAAAAAGTTTACAATATCAATAGTTTTTAAAAAAATGCTCATATACATGTTTTACTTCTTGCAGGGAATGTATGTGCTAACGAATGTAGCGAGTGGTAACGAGTTACATAAAGAAGCGGTAATGCAGCAACTGTTTCCTCAAGGGGAAGCTGAATCAGAGAATTTCATGCTAAAGTTTTTGCAGAGCCATGAGAGCCAGTTACGTTCAGCAACAGTCTGGACAATCATAAACCTCATTAGTCCTTCAAGTCCTGGTGCACTTGATCGGCATGTGAAACTGCGGAATGCGGCTATCATTTCTCAGTTAAAAAACATGGTCAACGATGCATGCCTCGATGTTAAGGTCATAAAGAAGTTAAACTTTAAAGCAGTTTCATTTTCACCTTTGTCATTAATACTCAAAACTATGTTCAATCCTTTTTTTTTTGCTTGCAGATTCGCATCAGAACTGTATTAGGCCAGTCAATGTCTTTTGGTGATAGTTAACAATGGTAGAGATGTTGCTGTTCACAATCCCACGGACTTATGAGTATAGAGAAGAAACGTTGGCCTACAGGGCCCATTTTTAAAATAAATGGTCCATTTGATTAATTGTTAATTTTTTCCAAAATTTTAATATAGTAAAAATGTGAGTTTTGTTTACATTAGCAACTAATTAAAATGTTAATTAAACAATTGAATAGAAATTAGGGTAACACTATATCACATGGATGCTTAATAAATTATAGTCAAATCTTTTCATGTGGATTTTATTAAATATTAAAAGGATAATACAAAACTAGTTCACCAACTAATTTGCTGGGATGTAGAAATTAGAGTACAAGGAATCAGATATTCAAATCATTAGCAGCTGCATAATCTACAAATCCTTATATTATTGAAACACAAGTTACTGAACCAATAATATGGTGACAAGTGGCAAATAAAAACAAAACAAAACATTTAACGTAAAAAGTAACAAAAATAGATCTACAAATTCTAAACAAACTAAAATTTAGAATTTAAATCCCAAATTTCATAAAGCACTACTTCACGATCTTTGAGACGGTTCCAACTTCCTATATCAGCTACTCACGACGAACTTCCATTGTCCATCATAATATCATATGCTTTCTAAACTGTTTCAGGTCTCTCTCTCTATCTTCTTCGTCTTAGACTTTCATGTATAAAATCACTTTTTATGTTTGTTTGTTGAATTTATAAGATTTCTGACAGAGATCATTCACTGATTTGATCGAAACGATGGAGAAAGGTCTCCAACGGAGATTCCTCTAGCGGCCACGAGAGATCCTTGGAGGATTAGTGCAAGGCTTTTGTTTGACTGTAGTAAGAAGAAGACAGTACCTTCTATTCAAAATATTGAAAGCAAGCTTTTCCATGCGCATCTTTGAACACAGGTTTTCACTTTCCTTACCCGATTTAGCTCTTTGCCCTAAAATGACCAAGTCTTTGATTCTCTAATTAAGCATAGTTACTTGCTAAAGTTTTTCTCCTTTTCCTTGAAAATCTGTAATACTGCAGCAATGCATAAAGCTTAGAGAAAGGCTCATGCGAAACCAGAACCCCATCATGATCGTCCGATGAAGAGCTTGGCCAACAAACCGAGGCAAGGTTCTATGCCGCTGAACTGAAAAGGTAAATCAAAGCAAAGTCTTTTAGTGATCCGTCTCTCTTTGTCTGATTCTTTTCTCGAATAGCAGGTTGGAGATTCTTTTAAAGGCACAAATGCATCTAGCGAAAGATTTCCTCAGAGAAGGAACGCGTGAAGCTTGGAACTCAAGTGGAGTCTCATGTCAAAAAGGCTGAAGCCAATGGAATGAGGATTTTCAAAGATTCACATCAGAAAAAAGGCATCGGTAAAAGAGAGATCATCTCAATCAATGACGAGGAGGATGGCAAGAGAGAGCAAGTACAAGGAACGAGTTCATGCTTCAGTCAATCAGAAGCATGTAGCTGCTGAGAGGAAATGGCTTGGGTTGCTTGAAGCTGAGAAAGAAGAAAGCACATGCTTGCGTCCAGCAAATACGCCACGTTTTGCCAACTCTGTTTCTAACCAGCGTGGCAGCGTGAGATACTGTGATAGAGACCTCAAATGAGGTACAAACTTGAAGACAACAAATTGCAGAGGGTAAATATATAGGTCCATAAGCTTTGATCTTTGTTTTCTTTTATCCTAATTGAACACTTATGTAGACTTTTTTTTTTTGGTCGGGACACTTATGTAGACTTAAGCAATGTTTAAGTAGTTTAAATATATATAAAAAAATGGATTCGTGCGTAGCACGGAAGATAATACTAGTAATTGACTAATTTATCAACTTTAAAGAAGAAAAATTTGGAATTTAGAGATGATCATAATGTGAGTTTTGGTCAAAATAAACAGTTTTATTGTTATTTGTGACATTCTAACATTGGTCAAGGCTGAGAACCAGATGGGTTGAAGCTCGATTTGGCTCAAGAGTTAATTAGATATAGCAGCTGGTTATAGGATTTGGTTAAGCTTAGGTGAACCGAAGCGTCGACATAATATCTAATCGGTGGAGACTTCGTTATCTTATCAAGAAACACAGAATAAGGCTAGAAAGAGAGAGTGAGAAAGATCTGTGAGGTTGTTTATCATTTTTCTTGAGCATTTTTCTTGTAGATCGAATCGGTTGTACTCTTGAATGTTCTAGTGGATTCTTTGTTTAATTGTGCCGTCAAGCCTCAATAACTCTTCTCGAAGGCGAACTCTGGGTTACCAATTTGTGTTGTCTCTTTTATCTTCCTTTACATATCATCTCTTTCAACAAATCTCTAAGTGTGTGCGAGTGAGTTGAGAGACGTTGAGGAGTGTTGATCGGATTCGGATTCGGGTTCGGGTACGTATAACACTTATTTTTGTTCGAGTAAATAACAAAAGGGATTAAATAACTTGACTATTTAGTCTATAAAAATAATTTAATTAAAAGTTTTTAATGAAATGTAAAAAAAAAAAGAAAAAATTTGTGTTTTAGAATTAATCTTTTATTGTTTACTTCTATTTTCATTAATTTGAGACGATGTTGATTATTATTGATTTTATGCAAAATTAGGACAAAAACATCTAAAACCTTGATTTTTTTTTTATATCACTTTCAGGTTTTGTATCGCTAGGCACGACTCTGCTAACAGACTATACATTGAACATATGATATAAATAGTGATTTAGCTTTAATTCAATTTTCACAATGTAGCAAAAGAGAGACATACATTGTCTTGAGTTTATGATCATGTTTTGTATATTTCAAACACAACTCTCTTTTGCTACAATGTCTCTCTGGCTTCTAAAATTTGAGTGTTAAAAAACAAATTGTGTTTTGTATATTGTGTCTGACGATACCAGGAAATTATGGTGATGTCCCAATTTAATCTCCCGTTTTGGCGTTTTGACATGCAAATGATGCATGATACATTCACTCTCTCGTGACAAATAGAAAATGGATTGCTATAAATAATGGAATAATGTTTACATTAAAGGAAAATGATAATATATTTCGGCACATGTAAGCCGTAATCTGTTGCCTTTAACTAGCGAAACGGATAAAATTGGCGGCGTACGCGGTAGAAAAGAAGACCCCTAAAAAAAGTATTAGAGTAAATAAAAGTGTTTCGTCAACTACAAATAGAGTAAAATTTGTTGACATAAACCAATGGTATTTTAACGGGATAAAAAACAGTAAGCGATATGTAAAAAATTATCAAAAAGGTAAAAATTAACGTTATAAAAGAATGAGGAAAGCTGTTTTCACTACCGTTAGTTGTTACGGTTTTGTTTTGTGGTTAAATATTATTACAGAAAATAAATGGTTCCTTTACAAAGCAGCCAGTTAGCTATTACTCCAAATCTAAAATAAAAAAACACATGTTAAGCAGAAGACTAGAAGAAAGATTACTCAATAGAAGCAGTTATTGGAGAAGTTTGATTAGGTTGAGTAATTCTTAATTCGGAACCATATTGTAAGATATGTGTCTCCTTGATGCGTTGGAACATGTGTACGTGAAGGAGCATGAGGGCTGGGCACGGGATAAGTACTTGCTAAATTTCATGTACTTGTTACTTGGTTTGACTCGTTCAAGTAATTAGATTTATTACTTGTACTTGACTCGGTTATAACAAGTACTCGTTATTTTAAATACTCGTAAAAATTTTGAATACTTGATACTTGACTTTAAAATACTTGATACTTGAATCTTGAGTGCATATTAAGAGAAACTCTTTATCGATAATGGTAAATTACACTTGGGTTTTCGGATTTTAATATCAAAAGCTCATATATATGTGATCATGAGTTTTAAGGCAACCATACAATTTGTAACAAATAGAGTTTTTTTAAAAATTTTGATAGTTTTTGGGTTTAATTTTTGGATTTTAATATCTATTATAGATTTTGTTACTAAAATTAAATAAATAACAAATATTTAGTAACAAGTAACAAGTATTTATTTTAATAAGTAACAAGTATCAAGTAATAAGACAAGTAACAAGACAAGTACTAAAAATAAAAACGATACTTGATATTTGATCCGTACTTGCAAGTAATAAAATTTGTAGATTTGTTACTCGACTTGACAACAAGAAGTACTTGTTTTATCAAGCCGAATACAGGACAAGTAACGAGTACGGGACAAGTAACGAGTATTTATGCCCAGACCTAGGAGCATCGCAGTTATATAATAGTAGTAGTACTTGTAAAGTTTTCTAGCAATATTTATAGACATTTTCTTTTATAACATGATAAAAAAAAATTCCGATTATGTGAGTTCGATAAATGATTTTGCAAGAGAAATACAAATTGAACTATATTTCAATAATATTATTTGATCTCTACTGTTAGTTTTTTCCTTACAAAATGTTTATGGTGTTGGAAATTTAAGTGAGTTTACGAATGAATTGTTTTATAAAGAGAATTACGAATTATTTTATAAAAAATTTAAGTGAGTTTTTTTTATATTACTATGTGATTATGAAATATTTCCTTGGAGATTTATCGGTATAGCCAAAAAAAATTACTAAAAACTTTCGACCAAAAAAAAAATATTAAAAATTTAAATTTGTTTTAAGTAAAAGAGAGACGATATATTATGTCTTCTTTATCCAATTTGGCCTTTGAAAATCAATGGTTCTTGCACATATGACCTCAAAATTGAAGTCAAATGCAAATTTAACCTCTTTTTTCTCCCTTTTCAACAAATGCCATTTTCTCCCTACTATCTCTTCACAACCACGTATATTCACGAAAATGCCATTATGTTTTCAATTTTTATTTTTTCTGAAAAATACCAAAAATACACAACCATCCTAAAATGTATCACTTATTTACGAAAAATGTCATCTTCTTCAATTTTGCCAACCACCATTACCAACCAATTTTGAAGCTCTAAATGTTTGCCCAACCAATTTTGAAGCTCTAACTACTCATTGTGTCGCTTATAACTTCATTTTACCTACAAATTTCTCTCCAATTTCATCTAAAAAACTCTTTCATGCTCATTTTCATAATTTTCAATTTCATAAATCATCTATTTTTGGAGATTCTTGCATAACAACGACTTAGCTAGTTTGCTATCGG